ATATATATATAATATATATATATATATCCTCTTCTTTATTAATGTAAATATTTCCGTGTATTGGCTGCTGTACTTTGCATGCATGCATGTGCGTATATAGCGGCTTTCTCTATTATTATTATGTTAAATAAATAAATAAATAAATAATAAATATAATTAAATAAAACTACAGAGTCCAGTAGTTTTGTGTATATAAACAATAATAAACAATAAATAAAAAAAAGAAGAAAAGATTTTTCTCTCCGCTCTTTATGCTAATAAAAGAAACAAAAGGGGAACCGCTATTGATTATTTAAATATTTATTTAATGAATAAATAAATAAATAAATAAATAAATAAATTTAAATATTAATTTAATAAATAAATATATGAATAAGATAATAACAGGAAAACTGTTATTATTCTAGTAAAGTATTATTTTGCATGCATGCAGTGTGTATCCTTCCCTCTTATTATAAGGTAGAGAGGGGGGGAATATATATATTTGTATTTATCTGCTCGTTATACTACAAACAGCAGGTATTAATAGAGTATATTTAGCTATTTTAGTTACTATATACACATTTATTTATATTTATTTATAAAGAAACGTTTATTCTTTGCTTATTCTGTATACTGTTGTCTTGGTCATATACAGAGAGGAGGGGGAGGGGTGGTGGTTCAGTCACTTGTCTATCATTGATTCAGCATGTAGTGTGAATATAAGTGATCTAATTTAATATATATTAAATAAATTAATTAATTCTTCTTTATTAGTAAGCAGCTGAGGTGTACGTACACCTCACGTGTATTGGATTGACGCCGACGGCTCGCGCCGGTTAGTGTCGGCGATGCGTCAACTCATAGAGGGAATCTTGTATATTTTGTGAGTAAAAAGGGGGGAAAACAGTGGAAATAAAGTTTTTTTAATAAATAAATATAAAATAATAAATAAAAATACAAAGAATAATGGATTTTCTTCATGAATTACCTCCGGTCTAATGATGTATGCATGATGAGTATAATACACACAACACCCTGTCATCGTGCTGGTCTAGGCGCATGTATATGTGTAGGTGTATGCAAATTAAGAAGGAAAAGAGGCCTCCCTGATGATCTTTTTTTGAATATTTAATTAAATCTTTGAATTTATTTTCTTTTTTATTTAAATAATCCATCGGACTTTTCTTTTAAGGGAAGAAAGACCTCTATAACTCCTCTCCTCGAGCTCAAGGCCACCCCCGGCCCGCCGCCGCCTCTGCTGTATAATCATTGCTCTCTTATGATCATCAGTAAATATCTTTTTTTATTTTGTTTAATATAATTATATAAATTAATTTAACTATTATTTATTTATTTGTAGGCCTTATTAAGACAGAGGAAATAAGATACATAAGAGCAGGAGCGACGACGGCTGTATGTATGAAGACGCGCTCGCTGCTTGTATCATGATAACAACAAGTTAAACTCTTCTCTTCTTGCTGCTGTTGTTGCTGCTGCTGCTGCTACTGCTGCACTGCTGCTCCTCTTGCGGTGTATCAGCAGCAGTCATGGGGAGAAAATCGCCCATCAAGTCTTTGTATACAGCAGCAAAGTGTTTATGCTGCAACAAGGAAGACAATTGCCTCTTAGCTAATCAGCAGCAAATAAGACACGGATGCATATTGTAGCGCTTTTTCTTAACAGCAGCAACAGCAGCAGCAACAGCAACAGCAGCAGTAGCAGCAGGAGGAGGAGAGGTGTCAACGAATTCCTTCAAATGTGTAACTGAGGATGCCACCGTGTGATTCTTTCCTTCTTCCTAACCATCAGCAGGAGCAGCAGGAACAGGAACATGAACAGGAACAGCAGCAGCAAAAGGATTATAAGGAAGTAAATGGTATGAATACTCCTTCTTCTTCTTCTTCTTCTTCTTCTTCTTCTTCTCCTCCAGTAATAGGAGAAGATGAATTATTATTATGGGTATGTGATGTATTAGGGGAGAAAAAAGAAGAAATAAACTTTTCTTCTTTGCGTAAGGGAGACATCTATTTGCGTCTATTTAAGGAAATATGGCCATCTGTGCTGCCCCCCCAGCTAGCCCATCAGCAGCAGCAGCAGCAGCAGCAGCAGCAGGAGCAGCAGCAGGAGCAGCAGCAGGAGCAGGAAGAGGAGCAATTATATTATTTATATCCAAAGACAGAAGAAGAAATAAATAAGAATTGGTGTATAATAGAGGAAATATTAATAAAATTAAATATACCAATAAATTTTATAGATCGTTCAGGTGTATGTACAGGTAATTATATAAAATGTTATGAATCATTAATTATATTATTTTTTTTTTATTATTTATCTAAGAATCATTATATTGAATTTATTTTATCTTTTCCTGTTAATCAACAATTAATTCTTTTTATGTCTTCTTATAGACCTCTTGCTTCTCTTGTTGCTGCTGGTGCTGTCTATCTACCACCACATCTTATGCATAAGATATTAACACCAATAAAGGAAGGAGAACAACAAGAGGAACTACATCAATATATAGGACAGCAGCAACAGCAACAGCAGCACCAGCAGCAGCAGCACCAGCAGCAGCAACTGCAGCAACTGCAGCAACTGCAGCAGCAACAAATACAGGATCGTCATATAGGCATACAACAAAATATACAAGAAAGGCAATTTACTCCTCCTCCTCCTCCTGCTCCTCCTGCTGCTGCTGCTGCTGCTGCAGATAATGCTGCTGCTGCTCCAGGAAAATATTCTACAACTTGTATACGTACACAACATTATACACAGAAACAACAATTACAAATGCAGCAACTGCAGCAACAGCAACTGCAGCAACAGCAACTGCAGCAACAGCAACAGCAACAGCTGCTGCAGCAACAGTCGATGCTACAGCATCAACAGCAACAGCAGCAGCAGCAACAACAGCAACAATTGATGCAGCATAGTCTTGATGGATCTTCTTTGCTGCTAGAAGGAAGTAATCTATCAGATTCTTTTGTTGGTACACCAACAGCAGCAAGACCATCAGCTGCAGCAGCAGCAGCAGCTGCTGCTGCTGCTGCTGCTGCTGCTGCTACTTCTCCTGTTATAGGTGGAGCATTCAGCAGTGATGGTACGTTTTGTGTAGAGAAAACTGCTGCTGCTGCTGCTGCTCTTGTTGCTGCTACTAATAATAATAATATGTCTGGGATGAATCAGGGCAGCAGCAACAGCAACAGCAACAGCAACAGCAACAGCAACAGCAGCAGAAACCGCAGCAGCAGCAACAACAGCAGCAGGAAGGAGGTAGAGGTCCAGACCCTTGCTGGTGATGGTCCAACACAAGATTGGAAGTTGCTGCCTCAGCAGCTACTGCAGCAGCAAGTATTACCTCAGCAGCTGCTGCAGCAGCAGCTGCTGTCTGTAGATTGGTGTGGGGAAGGACAGAAGATAAAAGGAGAGCAACTAGTTGAGCTGCTGCGGTACCAGAACGAGCTGCTGCAGCAGCAGCTGCAGCAAGCAGAGGATGCAGCAGCAGCAGCACGTCGTCTACATGAGCATCAATTACATGATATACGTGAATCTGCTGCTGTTGCACTGCAGCGAGAAAAGGAAAGATGTAATGCAGATCTACTGCAGCAGCAGCAGCAGCATGCAGCAGCAGTACAGGCTATGTGGCGGCAGCTAGACCTCCGTCTTCGTCATATAGAGGATGATATGGCGGTAGATATAGAGGTACTCTCTGCTTCTTCTTGTCTTAGGCCTCATACACCCAGTTCTGCTGCTGCTGCTGCTGCTGCTGCTGCTGTTGCTGCTGTTGCTGCAGGTGGTGGTGGTGGTATAGCAGCAGCAACAGGGGATATTGCTGCTGCTGCTGCTGGGAGGGAGGAGGAAGGGAAGGGAGTAGGGGAGCAGCAGACAGCAGTTGCACGAGTAAAGAAATTAGAGGCATTAATGGAGGAGAGATTACGTTCTCGTGATGCAGCAACAGCAGAGGTAAAGTTGCTGCTGCAGCAGCAGCAGCAGCAAATAACTGAATATAGGAAAGAGAGCGATAAAAGATGGGAGGAATGGAGACGTTGTGCTGAATTACGCAGCAGTTTGCTGCAGTTGCTGGCAGCAGCAGAGAAAAGTCAATCTGCTGCAGCAACAGCAGCAGCAGCAACATCAACAGCAGCAGCAGCAGCAGCAACAGGAGATACACTAACAGCAGCAAGACAGGCAATGTATGAACAGGTGCATGCATTAATAAATAAGAATGGCTATGATAGACAATTAGCAACAGCCATGGAGCAGCAGCTGCTGTCTGCATTAATAGAGTGTCTATGCATGCAGCAGGCGCAGCAAGCGCAGCATAGACAGGCACAACTCGAGTTCCTACGTGTATCTCATCAGCAGAAGCAACTAAATAATAATAATAATAATAATAATTATAAGCAGCAGCAGCAGCAGCAACAGCAGCAGCAGCAGCAGCAGCAGCAGCAGCAGCAGCAGCCTATGCAAATAATTCATAAGGAATTATTTTTGGAGGAGAAATTGCGAAGAATTGAAATTCGAAATTTTCAACTTTTAAGAAGAAATGAATTCCTTAAAAATAAAATACAACACTTAGAAAAATGGCAGCAGCAGCAGCAGCAGCAGCAGCAGCAGCAACAGCAACAGCAGCAGCAACAGCAGCAACAGCAACAGAAACAGAAACAGCAGGATGGAGAAGGAGGAGAAGATAGGGATTGTTTAGTAGTTAGTAATACACATATATATTATAAGAAAGATGATCATATTGATAAAGGGAATGGACAGGGAGGAGAGGATATGCAGCAGCAGCAACAGCAGCAACAATTGCAGCAGCAACAGCAATTGCAGCAGCAACAGAGGAGGGAGCAGCTGGTAGCATTAATGGCAGAAGAAGATACAATAGAAGTAATAGATAGAGACTCTGAATTGTTGCATCTTCTTAAGAACCTGCATAGACACCCCAATTCTCCATTTGGTGATGCAGCAGCAGCAGCAGCAGATGCAGCAACACGAGCATCATCAGCAGCAACAGAGGAAGCAGATGATTGCCTCTCCTTCTCTATTTCTCCACAAGATAGGAAAAGACTCCTCGAGCTATTCTGGTTACTCCTAGGGGACTTCTATAGGTACGTATATATATAATACAGCTAGCTAGCTAGCTAGCTAGCTAGCTAGTTAGCTAGCCAGCTAGCTAGCTGGATAGATATATGATTGGCTAGGTTGGTAGGTATGTAGATAGCTAGCTAGCTAGCTAGCTAATTATTCAGCTAGCTATAATATTTATTTTTTAGATTAAGTTGGTTATTATATAATATATAGTAAGAAAAGAAGCAGCAAGAAAAAAAAAAGGGTAATAATATATATATTCTTTTTTTTTTTTCTTTTTTTTTTTTTTTTTTTTTTTTTT